CACTATGGCAAGAGAGTACATATAGCAAACAAGTGAAGAAAGAGGTGCACCACCTATAAAGTTCATATCTACACTACAGCTAGAACTACATGCAGGTATAAGAATATAATTCTGACACTATCCTCTCGCCTTCAGAACAATCTCGAACCCTCCCCCTGTGACACTTTTCTCCAGCCTGCGTCGCGTCGATGCACGCTATACTTTCTTCGATTTCATGTCTTCCTTCATCGATGTGCGCTTGGCTGCCTTCCCTGTAGACATCGTTACACGCCCTCCACCTCTCTAGTCTCTCGCCAGTACCAAGTTGACCTTTCGCTTCCTTATCTCAACGTAACTGAATGTTTCTCGCGCGACTCGAGATGCCGCTTAGGCTCCGAGTTTGCTCTATGGGACAGCAGTGGCCTTTGCCTACACAATCCACACCTTCTTTTAACACCAGTCTACATCTGGGCGTACCGTTTATATACCCTCCTAGCGGTTCAGTTTCCTTTAATCTCCTCTCCAACCCACTTCATCCATGGCTACTTGCCTCGTTCCCAACTTCCACGACGGTTTTTTCCGTGGCGATTCCTGTGTTACGTCACGCCGCAGCGCACGATTGCTCTCTGCACCTCCTCCGCTGCCTCCGGCGGCGTGTTGCGAAGGACGCGTGATCCGCGTCACGATGATTATTGGCACAGTAACGACACGCGTGGGATGAGAAGTTCAGCAGCATAGGCGAACCACCGTTGTTCAGGGAGATGGCAGCCGGAATGCGCTGGAAGTGGGGGTCGTCGGCAGAGGGAATCGGGATGCCATCGAGAATAGTGAAGGCCACCCCTTCGTACGGGTCCTTCATGAGAAAGTTAGAAGGAAGAAGAGGATTGCACTAGCAAGAATGAGGATACAAATAGCAAACCCTAGAAGGGTTGTACTCGCTATAGAGCACCCCACTACAGGCTAGAGCATAAGATAACATTCTGACACACCCCCATAGCCAAAGTGGGGTGTAATCAGCAGAGCAAGCAAAGCAGTACAAGCTCAGGGTGGATCACAATGTCACCACACATTCTGAGCACAAGTTCAAGAAGCAATAGTTTAAGGTTCACAATTATGAGCAAAGCTAGTGGTAGTCACAACGGGCAAGTGAGGAGGAGGAGAGAGAGTGAGAGGAGAGGAGATAGGAGGCGACGGGTGAAGCTGCAGACACACGGGCAACAGGAGGCACACTGGCACAGCGGCTACCGGAACAACGCTCCGGGATACTGGAGTAACTGGCCCCGCGGCTAAAGCAGCGGCAGACGAGCAACGGACCCACGGGCGGCTGGCACAGCTGGCTACGACTGGGCTACCGGAGCAACTCCCCGGACTACAGGTGCTGCTGGCGACACGACGGCAACCTCCATTCAGCTTCCCCAAACTATCCCACTCCCCCTGGCACACACCCGCTGCTACACCGCTAGCTCCACTCCCCCTTCACCCCCCCTTAGTACCAGTCCACCGGCTCCAACACGTCCACCCCCCCTCAGCGGCAGCTGCAGCACAGGGAGACGGAGGAGGAGGAGGAGCAGGGAACGGCACACAGTGAGAGCACCCCCATACCCCTCACCCCCAAACCCTAATTCAGGAGAATGGGGAGTAGGAGGAGTGGGGCGCCAGTAGAAGCCCGGGGGGACAGCGGGGAGCGCAGGGGTATCGAGAAAGGGGCCCACCACGGGCCTGGTGTAGACGCCCGAGCCGCGCGCAGGCGGCCCGAGCCGCGCGCAGGCGGCCCAAGCCGCGCGCGGGCCTGGCGCCGTCCGTACGGGCCGCGCGCGGGCCTGGCGCCGCCCATACGGGTCGCGCGCGGGTCTGGCGCAGCCCGTACGGGCCGCGCGCGGGCCTGGCGTAGTCCGTACGGGTGGCGCGCGGGCCTGGCGTAGCCCGTACGGACCGCGCGCTGCCTAAACGGGCCGCGCGCAGGCCACGACGGGCAATAGGGGGCGACGCGCGGGTCCTTGTCGCCCGTCGCGGCGCCTCCAGAGGGCGACGCGGCGAACGACGGGGCAGAAGCCCGCCGCGCGCCTTGGGGCGCACAACGAGCAGAGAACCGCCGCGTGCCTCGGGGCGCACGGCGGGCCGAAAACCGCCGCGCGCCTCGGGGCGCACGACGGGCCGAAAACTGCTGCGCGCCTCGGGGCGCACGGCGGGAAGAAAAAGTGCCACACGCCACGGGGCGTGCGGCTCAGAGAGTAGTGGTAGAAGTTGCAGCGGAAGCTAGGAGGTGGTAAGCCCACCCACAGGATCGATCCAAGGGGATCGACCTGCTCTGATAGCATGTGAAAGTTAGAAGAGAGAAGAGGATTGCACTAGCAAGAATGAGGATACAAATAGCAAACCCTAGAAGGGTTGTACTCGCTATAGAGCACCCCACTACAGGCTAGAGCATAAGATAACATTCTGACACTTCACCCGGTGGAGGAGCTGGAGATCGCTCAGCCATGGCAGGCCATCATCCGTGGTTGCCGCAAGGAGGTAGGCTTTGATATCCTCCGGCTCGTAGTAAGTGGGAACGTTGCGGATAGACAGTGTGGTGGTGCCAGATGCCTTAGCAGCGGTAAACTCGGGGTCAGGATCTTTGAAGACCTTGAGGAGGACCGAGCGAGAGTTCGCCAACCGGAGCGTGAGCGGGAAGAGGTTGCAGAAGGAGACGGCATCGTCAGCACAAGCCCAATGGCTGCCGCTCACACTCCCTCCTTCACTACCTCAGCGCACCCTGCACTCGGTGGGATTTGTGTCTTGATTTTTAACAAGGCTATCACTATCTCCTCGCACGCACCCTCTCTTGATGGTAGACTTGTCAGGCTTATATGCTATAATCTGTGTAGGCTTTAGTGGGGTAGTTCATATGGGGTACAACACTTTAGGGTTTCCTACTTGTACTCCTCATCTTGCTCAATGCAATCATTCCTCGTTTCTTATCATGGTATCGAGCAGGTTCCCTAGTGGGAACGCTTCCTAGGGCCCACCACGATATTTTTTTTTTCCTGCCCGAAGCGCGCTTCGCTCCTGCCCGAGTCGCGCTCTGTGTGCCCTCCCTACCGTCGCGCCCTCTTACGGCCCCTTCGCGTCGCCTTTAGCGGCCCCTCTCACGGCCCCTTTGCCGCCCTTACGGCCCCTTGCACCGCCCTCTACGGCCCCTCGCGCCACCCTTACGGCCCTTTACGGCCCCGCGCGCCGCCCGTCGACCCCCCTCGCGCTGCCCTTACGGCCCCTTACGGCCCCTCGCGCTGCCCTTACGGCCCCTTACGGCCCCTCGCACCGCCCGTCGGCCCCTTGCGCCGTCCTTAGCGGCCCCTTACGACCCCTCACGCCGCCCTTATGGCCCTCGCGCGGCACCTTCCGGCCCCTCACGGCGCCCTCACGGCCCCTTACGGCCCCGTCGCCGCCCCGTCTAGGCCCCTTGCGGCCCCTCTGCGGCCCCTCTACGGCCCCGTCGCCGCCACCTGCGGCCCCGCCGCCGCCACCTGCGGCCCCATCGCCGTCACCTGCGGCCCCGTCGCCCTCCCCTGGAGGCCCCGTCGCCGCCCTTTGCGACCACCTAGCCGCCCTTAGCGGCCCCGACACCTCCCCCAGCGGCCACGTCGCCGCCTCTATCGGCCCCGTCACCGCTCAGCCGCCCAGCGACTGAGCCGCCAAGCCGCCCAGTAGCCAAGCCACCCAGTAGCCGAGCCGCCGAGCCGCCCAGCAGCCGAGCCGCCCAGCAGCCGTGCCGCCCAGCAGCCGAGCCGCCCAGCAGCCGAGCCGCCGAGCCGCCGAACCGCCCCGCAGCCGAGCCACCCAGAAGCCGAGCCGCCGAGCCACCCAGCGGCCGAGCCGCCCTACTTTCGAGCCGCTACTGTTCCTACCGGTGCACCCCGACCCTACTTACTCGGACTAGTGAGATCACTCACTACTAGGCCACAGCAAATATGGCTACCCCCAGTGTCCTTACCTTTGATGCTGAGGGCCGTGCCGTTGACTTTGAGGTCTGGGTCGATGACCTCCAGCTATTTCTCTAGTGCGATAGGGCAGACGGCCTCTCTCTGTTCGATCTCACCTCTGGTGTCTCTCCCGCCCCGCCTACTACAGCTGACAGCACTGTTCGCTCACAGTGGGCCACACACGATGCTGCTGCTCGCCTTGCTGTGCGTCGCCACTTACCGACCGCTGAGCGTGCGAACTTTAGCCAGTACAAGAGTGCTAAGACCTTGTACGACGCTGTAGTTGCACGCTACTACTCCCCTGCCACTGCTGCTCTTAGCCGCCTCATGCTGCCGTACTTGTTTCGTGACCTTGTTGCCTTTCCCACAGTCGCTGACCTCATTACTCACCTTCGCACTAGTGACATTCGCTACCGCGCTGCGCTTCCTGCTGAGTTCTGTGCCAAGAACCCCCCCCCCCCCCCCATGTACATCACCCTCTACTACATAGTCACCCGCCACCCTGACTCCCTTCGCTTAGTCAGGGACCACTTCCTCTCAGTTTGCCCCACCACACTCACCGTCGACCTCCTCGAGGAGCGCCTCCTAGCGGCAGAGAAGAGCGTAGTTGCTGTAGGAGCCTCTTGTGGTATCCCTCGCACCCCAGGGAACCGAGAGCCGACCGCCATGGATTCTACCGCGAACGCTTCGGAAGGCCCAATGTCCACTGAAACCTTGTCTGATGGGGCTTTAAGCATGCTCTTCGGATTCCTCGCATCGAGATTAATAAACGACTTAACAAACTATGTTCATACAGCGAACATGTTCAAGGTTTATCAATCTCCAGTGGATCCCAAGACATTAAAATCCCAAGGTTCTCCCTTCAGTGACAGCCAGCGACCATCCCAAGATGATGCGTTACGGGAGTCCCAAGGCACGAGAAAGCTGTTTCTGTACATTGGTGACAGCTCCAGGAATACTAATCCCAAGACACAACTATCATACAAAAGGCTACTTCAAGGCTCTCCTTTTATTATCAAGCAACCGTCTCGTATTAAGCTGCCATTGTCACTCTTCACGATGCCACCTAAAGGTCGTTCCTCCAAGGCCAATGCCAAGGCTGGCACCCGCAAGCAACCTTTCAGCGCACCTGCAACCCCAAGGATGACTACTGGCACTTCAGGCATTAAGGAAGCTGCTGAATCGTCGCCAGACGAAGCTGTTCATGTGAACCACCCGGAGTCTTCGTCAATGGCTGCTACCAGGCTCTCCGCGCTGAAAGGCAAAGGAACAGGAGAAAACGCAGACAACAAGAATGGGTCATTTCGGGAGTCAGCAGTACCTGAGCCTCTGTCGCCAGAAGCTGAATTGGATATGGAATTTCCAGACGACCCTGAGGATGCGGAGGGTGGTGGATCTGGTTACCTTAGCGACGACTCCGATGAAGGAGCTGATCCTGTTATGGCTGGCCTTGTTGCTGCTCAAATTTGTTTTACACTGACCCTGCTGATTCCAGATAAGTATATCAAAGAAGTCCCGCGAACTATGGACTCAGTCACTGCTCATCTGTTTCACTGGAGGAAGGAGTTGTTGGCTGATGTCCTCGCAACCACGAAGTTTCAGAAACTGCTACCGACTTATCTGTCGAAGGAGCGTTTCGGCCGCGTTCAGGTTACCTTCATCAATGAGAAGGATGCTGCCTTTGTCTGGAAACGTGCTGTTGCTCATGACTGCGTTAACGGTACCCCTTTGAAGCTGACCTGGCAGTTTCCAGAAAATGCTGATTACCTTCGGGCTCGCTCCCTCCACCCGAAGGCTTTTGAAGTTGTGCTGAAGGGAGTTCCGGCAGAGCTGACCCCGGAGCGTATTCGCAAGTTCCTGGTGATGGTGTGGTTGGTAAAGAGGGGGAGACCGCCGTTCAAAGAAGGCCACGGTTTTCATCGGGTACAAGATCCCGTCACTGGGATGGACACAGATAAGATCCGCGGGCTCCTGATTCAGCAAGAGAATGACCCATACCGTTGGCGTCATTTCATCCTTGACCCTGCGATGAACGGGAAGAAGCTGCTGTTACATTTCCCCTCGCTCAACTGTGACTACTGCAACGGCCACCACATGACGCGCTACCACGACGACTACGTCAGTGACCGTCAGGCTAACATTGTGAAATGGAACCTCACGGTTAAACGCATCCATGAAGTCAACGGTACTCTAGACCTTCCAGCTTGCACAGACTGTCTCGCCTTTTTTTCCTCTCATGGTACTGATCTGTCTCTCTCCTCTCTTCCTCGCAGCGGCCTCACTGAAAGTCACAGATTCACTGAAGGCGATTCTGTTAGACCCTGCCATTGTTCTTACCTCGACTGGTGGATCCCGCGAAGACTGGGTTTGCGTCATCGATGCGTGCGGCAAGGCACACGGAAACAGCCTGGAGCTTGCGGCTGCGCACGTCGCTTCTGTCCGCCACACTTCCAACTTGACCACAGCGGGTGCAGCCACGCGCAACAGCAAGGGTGCGATCAATGTTGCAGCTCTCAGGAAGGAGTTTCTCAAGTGACCTGTCATGGAATGGGAGACGGCTCAACGGGGTGGGAGAATAAGCTGGAGGTTTGTCTTCAGAAGTATCATGAAGTGATAGTTAGTGGAGCTGTGGCTAGCGCCTCGATAGCAACTGCTGTGCTGTGTGGTATCATACTTGTAACACGCTTTCTGGACCAGTGGATGCCTGTGGAGACCAAACTGGGAGCAGCTGAACTGGTAACAACAACTACAACACCTAACCCGTGGATGCGAAGGGGTTCCCACCAGTGGTTTAATGAATAAACACCAAGAGCTCGCCATCACCGCGCTCAATGTGAACGGATTGGGGAGCGCGGTAAAAAGGGAGAATCTGCACGACTGGCTCAAAAAGTCCAAGGGCTTGATTGTACTCACAGATACCAGACTGCAGGCGGATCATAACTTCTGGACTCAGATTGGTGCTGAGTCAATGGCAATTGTGGGCCCAGGGGAGACAGCAGGAGGTGTAGCGGTCCTGAGTTTTAACAATGAAGTCACCTTTGGTGATGTTCAACGTCACGAGTCGGGAAGGCTGGTAGCGGTGCCGGCGAGCTGGCGGGAGCTGTCATGGACGCTGGTAGCAGCGTATTTCCCTGCGCAAGCAACATCCAGGGGGAGCTTCTTCAGAGACAGTTTGACCCCCTTTGTGAATTCGCTAACACAATCAGGACATCTTCTTCTCACAGGTGACCTCAACATTACGGCAGACCCAGTTATGGACAGAACGTCGAAGCAAGGATCAGACGCGGAAAACAAAAGACTCTTACACATCTGCTTCAGGTGGGACTTGCGGGACACATTCCGGGCGTTATACCCCTCGCGACTGGAATATACGTTTCTGATGAAATCGACATTAACAAGCTCACGCATTGATCGCGCCCTGGCGTCGGCTTCTCTGCTCCCACTGGTGGCGGATGCGTACCACACGGCAGCACCGCAAGATGTAACGGACCACTGGTTCAGCATTACCACGGTGCTGACAGCGCAGACTGGTGCGACATATGGCCCGGGGTTGTGGAAGATGCATGCAGACCAGACGAGACACCCAGGGGTACGCAACGCCATCCGACGAGTACTGCGTGATCAAGGTGGAACCGGTGGTGGTGACTTGCATTCCGTGCTTACGAGCCTGCAAGTCAGCCTCAGAGCTCATTCAAGGGAGGAAAGGAAAAGGATCGGGCGAACCATATCACATCTGGAGGATCGGGTAGCGGCGCTGAGACAAGAGTTCATGGTGGACTCAAGTCAAGGAGCGAAATATGATGAACTGACCAAATACGAGGCGCAACTCAAAGCGTATAGAGATAGCCAAAGGAGGAGGAAGCAGACGATGGCAGGAATCGGAGTGGAGATGTACAGTGAAATAGCGAACAAGTTTCTGACAAGGAAAATTGCAGCACGGAAGTCAAAGACAGTGATTAAAGAGATCGTGCACGGGGGCAAAAAGTACGAAGGAGAACGAGAAGTACTGACAGCAGCCTCGGAGTTCTTCACCAACCTCTTCGGTGCGGAACAGCTGGTACCGGATGTAGAGGAGTGGCAGATGGACCCCGGAAAAACCTTGGATGCGGAAGCTAAAAGGAGGCTCACAGAGCCATGGTCGGAGAAGGAAGTGAGACAGATGATGCGGGAGCTCCCAAGGGGAAAGGCGCCGGGTGCAGACGAGCTGCCGAAAGAGCTGCTGGAAGACAACTGGGATTTGCTGGGGAAGTCGGTAATGGATTTCATGTGCAATTTTGAAAGGACGGCGAAGCTGCCGAAGAGTGCATTGACGGCAGTGACGATCCTCCTGCACAAGAAGGGTGAACGGTCAGACCTGGGAAACTACAGACCAATCACTCTGCTCAGCGCGACGTACAAGATTGTGGCGAAGCTGCTCGCGAACAGGATGAAAGGAGTGCTATCGCAAGTCATCTCGCGGAACCAGTTCGGCTTTGTTCCAGGCAGGAGACTGGCGGATGCGGTCAAAACGGTTGCGGACACAATTGATGCGGCAATTACGGAGAAGGAAGATTGGTACTTACTATTAGTAGACTTCCAAAAGGCGTATGACTCGGTATCGAGACCGTTCCTGTTCCGCACCTTGGAGCGCATGGGTTTCCCGGAGACCTTCATACGATGGGCTAAGGGGCTGCATGATCAGGCGGCGACACAGCTGCTGGTCAACGGCTGGCTGGGAGAGCACGTAGAAGTGGAATCAGGGGTGCGGCAGGGATGCCCGCTGGCGCCTTATCTCTTCATCTGCGCAGCAGAGCCACTGTGTCAGGAAGCGGAAAGAAGGAAGCTGGGGCTGAGAAAGAGAGGAAAAGGAGGGCTGACATACCTTGGGTATGCGGACGACACGACACTGCTGCTTAAAGGGAAAGAGCAGCTTAAGCAGGCGCAAAATTTGCTGGAGGATTTCAGCGTCAGGTCGGGCTTACATGTCAATAAGACGAAGTCAACGGTGATGCCGCTGGGGAGAAATAGAGCAAACCCGCCACCTGTTGACACCACATACACCTGGGCAGTAAGAGGAGTACCGGAGAGGCTACTGGGCATTTGGATCACTACAGAAGGAATAGCAGAACCTACCTGGGAAAAAGCGTTGATCCGAGTGAACATCATTCTGACCAACTGGGAGAAGCTGCACCTCACGACAACGGCGCGGGTGACGATCCTTAATACTTATGTGATGCCGGTGCTGCTTTTCTAGGCGCAGGTGTACCAACCTCCAAAGCAGATTTGGAAGAGGATCCTGAAGCTGTGCCGCAATTTCATATCAAAGGGCTGCGCTGATGAGGAAAGGCATTTCACCCTCTGGAGTGAAGTCCTGGCGCACATGGGAAGGAAAGAGGGAGGGTTAGGAGTAATCAGCCCGAAGGAACGAGTAAACAGCCAAGCGCTATGGAACCTGGGGGCGGCGCTGTTGGAGGACAACCCGATGAAGCAGTGGCTACATGAGAAAGCAGCGAACATGCCCCTGGGCTGGGCGACGCTGCTGGCCCACGAGGCAATCTTAGCGGAGTGGACAGTGGGAAGTGGGCGCTGGAAAGCACTCACACCGCTTATGTGGGACAAACAGCTGCCGGAGCTGCCAGAACCGGGGAATCGGTGGGAAATGGAGCGAGAGCACCTATGGTTCAGCTGCTGGATACATTATCAAGGAAACAGCCCGTTCGGCGGGCAGAAAGGATCGGAGTGCCTACGGGGGATGACAGTGGGCGACCTGCTGCAGGAAGATTTTTGCGGCGGGTGAGTGTCAAAGACATGTGGACGCTGACAAAACAAACTGGGAGGTCAACTACGGCAAGATGGGCGCTTCGAGCATGGGAGGCGGTTCCGGAGAATTGGAAAGAAAAACTCCTAGCGAAGGCCTCAGCGGAGGCGATTACAGATGTCTCCACCCTGGTCAAAGTGGGCAGAGATGTTGGGGGGAGGCAACCTTTTCTGCAAATGGCGCTGTTGGAGACTCAGGAATTACTTTGCGAAACGGTGTCGGTGGACAAGGAAGGTAAGGTTAAACACATCGGGGTAATGACCCAAGCACCGACGCGCCTCAGTATGCTAACCCCGATGGTGGTCAGGGAAGGCCGGGTGTTGGGCCAAGTAGGAGACCCAGTCGCACGACTGCGAGCCTCTTTTCTATGCGAGGATGGGAAACCAAAGGCGCAGAAGTGTTTGAGGCACCTGCTCAGGAAGCCAGACACACAATCAAAGCAGCAGAGGAAGTGGGAAGAGACATGGGGCAAGAAGGTGGAATGGGAGAAGGTGATCAAGAAGAGGGATTCACTGGCGGTCCCTGCCAAGGCGAGAGAAATCCTGCTGAGGCTGCACAGCAACAATTTGCAAGTGGGGAGTAGGGTGGCCTTTCTTGGACCACATGCATGCTGCCCGTACTGTGGGGAGGAGGAGACACCGACGCATTGCCTGATGAGCTGCCCAACGGTTAGCGGAATTTGTGGGGCGCTCCAGGATTCGCTCCGGTTGATAAATCCGAGAAGACAGGTGGAGACTTTGGAAGAGCTGCTATTCGCTGATGACAGCACAGCATCAGACTTTCCGGAAACCACCCTAATCGCGGTCACTTTGAGACACATCTGGCTGGAGCGCTGTGACGCGGTTTTCCGGAAAACGACTTTTGAGCCCAAACGAGTGGTCAGGAAAATTGGAGCAAATTTCATGAGGCATGTTAGGATATACAGCGAGGGAGTGCGTGGCGCTGGCAACCGACACAAGGACAAGGATGAGGGAATGAGACAAAATCTGACAGTTGGGGAGCAGGGGGCAGTGGAACGAATCTGTGGGGGTGAGGGGAGTATGACGTGGAACGAAGACTTCTAGTCCATCTGGGAGAGGCCCAGTACCTTCTTCAAGCCACCGTACGGTGGCACGGGAGGGCCACGGTAGGCTACTGCATGTCTGCTAGTGCTCTTCTGTCTCTACAGTTACGACTATGGGTGTATGCATTGTACAGTGTAATATACCCCAAAAAAAAAAAAAAAAAAAATCCCTCGCACCCCCGTCTTTGAGGGGTGTTCCCCCTCCCCCCTCTTGCCCTCTGTTCCTTCTGCTGCTGCGGCCGACCTCGATGGTTTCGAGTCAGTCGGCGCTGCGTCTGCCCCGAGCGGGAGACGCCGCACCGGCAAGGGCAAGGGGGGCAAGGGCGCTGGAGGGGATGGCGGGGGCGGTGGAGGAGGTGGTGGAGGCAATGGAGGGGGTGGGGGTGGTGGTGGGAGTGGTGGCGGGGGTGGAGGTGTCGGTGGCAGCAGTGGAGGCAGAGGAGGCGGCGGCGGTGGCGGAGGGAGCGAAGGCGGCGAAGGTGGTGGAGGCGGCGGAGGTGGCGGAGGCGGCAGAGGTGGCGGAGGCGGCGGCGGCAGCTGTGGACCTGGTCGCGGCTCTGCGCAGAGGAGTGGCTCCGGCGGTGGTCCGCGCCAGCTGCAGCAGCGCAGTCGTGAGACCCCGTCCCCTCAGCAGCTTCATGAGTGGTACGCTGCGCGTCAGCGCGGTGGGGGTACTGGTCCCAGCACATACGTTCTCCGTACCGGCGACCGCGCTGGTGAGCAGTGCGGGGGCCCGCACTCCACCCAGCGCTGCTTCGGCCGCCTGACGGACGTGTGGCGTCACCCTGAGGCCTCTGAGATCCCTCGCTGGGGAGAGCTGTCTAGGGCGGGGGTTGCTATCTTTGATCTTGTTTTGATGCTATTCTTGCTGCCATGTATGCTGTGTCTGATAGTGTTGAGGGTGACTGCTACCTGTATGTTCCGCCTGACCCGAGCATTGAGGCTGCTGCTCTAGGTACTAGTGAGGCTGCTGCTCTAGGTGCTAGTGCGTCTGCTGCCCCAGGTGCTGGTGAGTCTGCTCTCTCAGGTACTACGTCGGCTCAGGCCTTACACACATTCACCCTTGACTCGGGTGCTTCCCGCTCCTTCTTTCGAGACCGCACCACGCTTACGCCGCTTAGTCGGCCGGTTGCGGTCTCCCTGGCGGACCCCTCTGGGGGCACTGTCCTTGCTCGCTTCTCCACTGTCTTACCGTGTTCGGCAGCCCCCTCTGGCACCCTGTCAGGTCTCTACCTCCCCTCGTTCTCTACGAACTTGGTGAGTGGAGCTGATCTACAGGATAGGGGGGTTGACCAGTTCACTCTTGCGAGTCAGCGGCTGACCCACTGTACGTGTGCTCGGACAGGCCGACACTTGGCCACGTTCACCCGTCGGCCGGGGTCGAGCCTGTACACCCTCACTACTGAGTCTCCTGCGGCTGCTGAGTCTAGTCAGGTAGCTGCGTCGAGTCAGGTGTTTGCTGCAGCGTCCAGGTCTAGTCCTGAGTCTGCTCCCTGCTCGTGTCGTCTCCTGTCTCACCAGACTCTCCTTAGACACCACCGCCTTGGTCACCCCTCCCTGCCTCGTCTCCGAGGTATGGCCTCCCGTGTCCTTGTCTCTGGTCTCCCCCGGTCTCTCCCTCCCCTACCTCCGGGGCCTGCCCCTTCCTACGTCCCCTGCATCGAGGGGCGATAGCTAGCCGCCCCTCACTCCTCCGAGTTTCCTCCGACAGAGGCTCCGTTGCAGACTCTTCACATGGATGTGTGGGGCCCCGCCCGCATCCGTGGCCAGGGGCACGAGCGTTACTTCCTGTTGGTGGTTGACGACTACTCGCATTACACCACGGTCTTCCCCTTGCACAGCAAGGGCGACGTCACTGAGGTGTTGATCGACTGGATCCGCGCAGCTCGTCTCCAGCTCAGAGAGAGTTTCGGCTCGAACTTTCGTGTTCTGCGTCTGCACTGTGACAGAGGCGGGGAGTTTTCCTCTACCCGTCAGGGAGCCTTCTGTTGAGCACAGGGCATCCGCCAGTTCTTCACGCTTCCGGCCTCTCCACAGCAAAATGGGATTGCTGAGCGCCGCATTGGCATGGTCATGGACGTCGCTCGTACGTCCATGATCCATGCAACTGCCCCCCATTTTCTGTGGCCGTTTGCGGTTCAGTACGCGGCGCATCAGCTCATCCTTGAGCCCCGGGTCTCCTTGCCAGAGACCTCCCCCACCCTACGGTGGAGGGGGAAGGTTGGCGATGCGTCTGCGTTTCGGGTCTTGGGATCTCGGGCGTTTGTCCGCGACTTGTCTGCGGACAAGCTGTCCCCCCGTGCTGTTCCATGCATCTTCCTTGGCTTCCCCCCTGACGCGCCTGGTTGGCAGTTTTACCACCCCACCTCGCGCCGTGTTCTGTCCTCCCAAGACGTCACCTTTGACGAGTCGGTGCCTTACTACCGTCTCTTCCCCTACCGCGTTGCGCCCCTTCCCCCGCCGCCGCTCTTCGTTGTGCCAGGTCCTCCACCGGTAGACCCCCTCCCCCCTCAGGGTCCTGCCCTGTCAGGTGTGTCCTAGGTAGACGCAGTCGAGCCTGTGGAGGTGGCTGTTGACTTTGGTGCTGCTAGAGGTGCTGAGCATGGAGGTGCTGAGTCTAGGGGTGCTGAGCCTGGGGGTGCTGAGTTTGGGGGTGCTGAGCCTGGGGGTGCTGAGTCTGGAGGTGCTGAGCCTGGGGGTGCTAAGCCTGGGGGTGCTGAGTCTAGAGGTGCTGAGCGTGGGGGTGCGGAGCCTGGGGGTGCTGGGTCTGCTCATGTGGCCTCTCGCGGTGCTTCGTCAAGGCGGGAGCCACTCTCTCCGCAGGAGCTACGCGAGTGGTTTGCCCGTCGCTGGAGTTGTGCTGCTAGAGCTGGAGTTTCTACTGTTGCCGCTGGTCTTGGAGGTGCTCGTACTGGAGGTAATGGAGCTACAGGAACTGGGGGTGCTGCTGGAGTTAGTTCTGCCGGTTGTACTGCTGGAGCTGCTGGCGGTCCTGGAGCTGACGGTCTTGCTGGAGTTGGTGCTGCTGGAGCAAGATCTGCTGGAGCTGCTCAAGCTGGAGCTGCTAGGGGTGTTGGCGCTAGTGGTGCTACTCGCGCTGGTGCTTTTGAGGGTGCTGGAGTTGGCGCTGTTGGAGCTGGAGGTGTTGCTGGTGCTGGTACTGCCGCTGGGGGTACTTGTGCTGTCCCTACTGGTTCTAGAGGCGCTGCGCGGCCGAGGCCGTACTTTGTTCCCCTTCTTGAGCAGGTTCTTGGTCTCTTGCCCTCTACTGGTGCTGCTCCTCCCTAAGAGTGTCCACAGCCTATCCAGTCCCAGTCACAGATACAGCCTGCCTCCCCCCTACTTGCTCCTTCTCCGGCGTAGTCCTACTGGA